GTGTGTGTGTGTGTGTGTGTGTGTGTGTGTGTGTGTGTGTTGTTCTGAGGTTTGCCACTGAGATTTTACTCTGAGTGTGTGTGTGTGTGTGTGTGTGTGTGTGTCTTGAACTCAGGGCCTGGGTGTGGTTCCTAAGCTTTTTTTTTTGCACAAGGCTAGACACAGCACCACTTCTGGTTTTCTGCTGGTTAATTGGAGATAAGAGTCTCTTGAACTTTCCTGCCTAGGTTGTTTTCAAATGGTGATCCTCAGATTTCAGCCTCCTGAGTAGCTAGGCACTGGGCTTACTCTGGATCTTGAATGATCAATTACATGATGAATAAGTTAGTCTAGACTAGTATGTCACATCTTCTCTGATCTAGATAGCAGTAAGTTTATATTCTTTTTTCAGAGCAATTGCGTAGATTTGTGTTCAGAACCTTCATTTTCTTGTTGTGCTGGGTCATATGGATTACCTTCATGTTACTTGGTCGCTGTCAATTGTACAAATAGTGGTATTGATAGTGATTCATGAGTACAGAAAGTACATTTTAGTTTTCAGTATCCTCATTTTATTCATTATAGTCCTTTTATTTATTTTTTGGTTTTGAGGCTTGCACTCAGGGTCTGGGCACTGTCTAGCTCTTTTCCTTAACGCTAGTTACTGTTCTACCAATTCCAACCACAGTGTTACTTCCAGTTTTCTGGTGGTTAATTGGAAGTAAGAGTCTCACAGGGGTTGGCTTTGAACTATGATTCTCAGATCTCAGCCTCCAGAGTTGCTAGGATTATAGGCATGAGCTACTACTGCCTGTGTCATTATAGGGTGTGTTTTTTTTCTTGCATTATAAATAATAAAATAAAAGGATGAAAAGGCTCTTTAGAGCATTTTAGATGTTTACTGTAGTTTATGACTGAACTAATGTGTATTGAGTGCTTGTTAGCTTCTAGGGGATGAGCCTAGAGTGCCAGCATTGCTTAGAGGGTGGAAAAAAATCTTACCTCCTGGAATGGTGGAGAATGATTGGAAATATTGTAAGAGACCTTTAAGTTAAACAACTCCAAAAGAGAGACATTTAAGTAAGACAAGTCCTATGGTCTTAAAAGAGAAATAAATTATTGCTAACTAAAGAAGTAAGCTAGAGATGTTTTGTCTAGGAGTTTCCATTGTTATAGAAAAAGATTTTTGATGGTCATGGTCCGAGGGCATTCCAAGTAGGAAATATTGATAAAAAAATTAGATATATAACTGTCTGTAGATTTAACTTGGTAACACTATTTTCAACCCAGACTTGGATAGCTGAGAGCATCATAATACATTCTTGTGAGGTTTTAAAATAGCAATATGATTCATAATGTCAATTTACTTGGGCCAGAATTATAGTTGCCATATCTGTTTTTCCAGTTAGTTAATTAAAATAGTCCTCTGGCTGTAGTTTCCTGTTTTTTTTTTTTTTCCCCTACATTTTCATTTGCAAATTGTTTTTGTAAAATTCCAAATCCAAGAATAACTCAAAGCACTTAATTGTCTGGCTGTTGGATATGAACACTGAGATTTTGTTTGCCTTGCTAAATTATGTTCCTTGACCCACAAAGTGTGGAAAATAGGAGTGTAGCAAGAGGGTAATAATTCAGTAAAATTTAATCCATTTAGTATTGAGGCCGAGAGGAGGATACAGCAATTAATAAAATTTACTAGTGAGAATCTTACAAAACTGTATGTCTTTTTCAACTATTAACTTTTTTATTCTGAAAACTTTTTAAGCATTTGTCATTTTACAAGTTAGGCCTTCTAGGGGATTAGTGGTTTTATATATATCTAAACTCAACTCTCTTTTGGTTTTTCCAGAATCTTGGTATTTTCTTGGTTATGTTGGTTATCTGTTTAAAATTTTATTTTAAGTTTTATTATTGCAAATAATCTATTTGGACCTATGGTTATTTTATTTTTATTTTATTTTTTGTCATTTGTGGGGCTTAAACTCAGGGCCTAGGCACTGTCTCTGAGCTTTTTTACTCAAGGCTAGTGCTCTATCACTTTGAGCTATAGCACCATTTCTGATTTATTTTCTACTGGTTAATTGGAGATAAGAGTCTCATGGATTTTCCTGCCTGGTCTAGCTTTGAACTGTGATTCTCAAATTTCAGCCTCCTGAATAGCTAGGATTATTGGAATGAGCCACCAACACCCAGCTTGGTTATTTTTAAAGCTTACTTATTTGGCTATTCTTTTTCACATGTTTTGTTATTTGATAATGTATTTCTTTTTGGCATTTAAAAGCAATTTGTAAAGGAAAGCATTGTTGCTCATTTATCAGATAATTTAGGAAATTCTGAAGTGTTTGCTGTTCACAACTTAAAAGTTCACTTAACTGAAGAGAACAATTAATTGGAATCTGTTATTGCTAGCACTTTTTTTTTTTTTTTTTTTGCCTATCTTGAGGCTTGAGTGTTGTCCCTAGCTTTTTCTGCTAAAGGCTAGTGCTCTCCCATTTGAGCCACAGCTCCATTTCTGGATCTCTCCCCCTCTCTCTCTCCCTCTCTAATTCTTTCTCTCTCCCCTCTCTCTCCCCTCTCTCCCCTGTCCCCTCTCTTCCCTCTCTCCTCTTGTCCCTCCTCTTTTCCCTCTCTCCTCTCTCTTCTCCCCCTCCCCCCTTTGTTAATTGGAGATAAGATCCACACTGATTTTCCTCCCCAGGTTGCTTTTGAACTGTGATCCTCAGATCTCAGCCTCCTGAGTAGCTTGTATTACAGGTGTTTACCCCTTGCCTGGCTTCAGTTTTGAATTTTATACTGTTGGCATTTCTGGGTTACTGGCTTCCCCAGTATATAACTCTGAGATATATGAGTTAGAAAGGAGCCCAGGGAACTTAATTAGCACCATATCATTTGCTATATCCTAGAGTCTCTTGCTAGTTGGCCTTCCTTCCACCAGCCTACCTGTCTTGCTAGCACTTTCTTATTATGTAAATGCTTACACACGAATATTTAAGTGAAAGTATTTCAGTAAAAAGTTTGAATTAGCAAATATGATTTAATTTGTGTCAAGTGTTTGGTATAAGTAAAATGTCTGTACAACAGTGATATATACAAGATAATATGTTGGAAATGATCTATACAGTTTGAGGGGGATGGGGAGGGGAGGGAAAGTAGGAGCAAATTGAGGGAAGGGGTAACAAGTTTGACAAGAAATGAACTCATTACCTTATTTATGTAACTGTAACCCCTCTGTACATCACCTTGAGAATAATAAAAATAAAATAACCCTTGAAATGTTAAAAAAATGTCTGTAGCTTGACATACATTCAGGAAAAGAATTGATAATGGCTTTTTAAACCAACAAAAATATTTTTCAATTAGTGTGTTTTAAAAAATAATTTTTGATCACTCTCTATGGATTTTCTGTCCTGAAGTTAGATACAGAGGAAAACTGCCTACTTTTCTCAGGAAAGATATGCAGAAAAACAATTTCAGTTCAGAAACCTGTCAAGAGTTAAAATTTTAAAAATCCTGCACTTTATACCTTTAATTATCTTTTAGGTTCTTATCTCGAACAGTACACAATTTGTTTGGACTTTTTAATGGCTTTGGTAGATTTGCACTAATCTTACAAGTCACAAATGATTATCTGGGAACTAAAATTATATTAAGATTGTCATTTGTAGTTACATAATTAAGGTAGTAGGCATAGAACAATATTTAAAGAAGTAATGATTGAACAAATACCTATTTTAGTGATTTTGAATTTCAGAATTTAAAAGTTTCTTTAGCCTTAAATGTCTTAAAAATCAAATATAAAGCCGGGCGCTGGTGGCTCACGCCTGTAATCCTAGCTACTCAGGAGGCTGAGATATGAGGATCTCGGTTCAAAGCCAGCCCGGGCAGGAGAGACTGTGAGACTCCTATCTCCAATAAACCACCAGAAAACTGGAAGTGGCGCTGTAGCTGAAGTGGTAGAACGCTCGCCTTGAGCTGAAGAGCTGAGGGACAGCGCCCAGGCCCAGAGTTCAAGCCCCACGGCCGACAAAAAAAAAAAAAAAAAAAATCAAATATAAAACAGAATTTAGTTAATTCAAATAAAAAACAATGAGGAGACCCTATCTTCAATCTTATCTTAGTATACTAAACATACAATGAGTATTTTAAGGTGCTGATGAGTGACTTTGTATGGATACAAGTATTTTTTTTAAGATTATCAAGTATATTTGTGATTGATGGCTTTCTATATTGCATGTTATGCTGTAAACAAATGGAAGAAATTGCTATTAATGTGTAAAAAACTTTTTTTTCCTTTCAAGGAAATGATAATTGACAGAGTAAATGGACAGACTGTTCCTAGATATTTGATATATGACATAATTAAATTCAATGTAAGTACCTTTTTTAATTTATAAAGTGTATATTTATAGAAGTTGTCATTGAAATAATAGGTTTTTTTTTTTGTTAAATGGTGCTGAGGGCTTTGTACAAGCCAGGCCAGCTTAGCTACACTATAGCAGAAAATATCAGGTGTTTTTGTTTTGTGTTTTTGCTGGTACTGGGGCCTCAAAGCTTGTTTGGATTTTTCATTTGTGTCTGGTACTCTACCACTTAAACCACTCCTTTAGTTCTGGCTTTTTGCTGGTTATTTGAATTAAAGAGTCTCATGGACTTGCTGCCTGGGCTGGCTTTGAACTACAACCCTCAGTAGCTAGGATTACAGCTATGAGGCAGTGATGCCTGGCAATATCAGATACCTAAAAAATATTTCTATTATTTTTGAGGAGTACACAAAGGAGTTGCCATTCAACAAAGCAGTTTATAAATACGGTATGTCTTCCAACATTCTCATCCACCCTCCCAACCCATTCTTTACCTCACTTTTCTTAATTTTTAGACTTGGGAAATATTAAGTGAAGTAAGTCAGACCCAGAGAAACACAGTGCCTGGTTTCCCTCATTTGTGGTGCCGGAATGTGCCTATGAAACTATAAGTAAACACACTGAGTGATATGCAAGTAGTTATAAATGATTTAACTGAAATACAGTAGACTCTTAAGGAACTCAAATAGTATAATTCTTTAGAATAAGTCAAAACCCAACAAAATAAGTACTAAGAAATGGGTACTTAAAAGGATGTGGAATTGGGGCCAAGGGGAGAGGGTAGACAAGAGAAGGGGGAAGGGGGAGAATGCAGTCAATTCATTGTATGTAACACGAATTGAGAAAAGTAAGGGAGGGGAGGAGGGTGGAAGGGGTGTAAAAATGTTGATAGGATGACAGATCAAGAGGTATTGTACAAATACCAGCCATTGTTAGCAAATAAGTATTAGGAAGCCAAGTACAGTGATGCACACCTGCAATCCCAGCACTTGAGAGGCAGAGTCAGGAGTTTGAGACCAACAGGAGCTACAAAAAAACCAAGAAAAAAAAAGGGGAAAAAGGTATTTGTCATACCTTGGGTATAGTGGGAAATAAAGATTGTGATTCAGAATACTCACTGGGCATATTTTTGTTAATAATTTAATATTACCCTTGTATCCTCTATTATATTGCATATATCTAATTGAATATGTAACTTAACTGGGTGAAGAAAAACAGTTTAACTTTGATGAAATATGAAAATTTTATAAAGTGGAAATGTTTGGTTTTTAGTTGGACTGTACTTGAGTAAAGAACATAAAAAAGGCCACAAGTTTCTTCTGTCTGTGAAAAGAAAGATTAAATACAAAACAAAGGTCAGACTGTTTGTAGGGTTTTGTTTTGTTTGTTTTGATGGTACTAGAATTTGAACTCCAGAGCTCTGCATTCTTGCTAGGCGGGTTTTCTACCGCCTGAGCCACACCACAGCCTGATAATGAAGTATTGACTGGATAGCATGGAGACAGCTTCATGTCATATACATGCATCAAGAAACCTTAGTAAACTAAAATATCTTAAACAAAATGTGAATGTGATAGAAAAAAATACACATTATGTTTTATACCCATTCCTCACAGTTTTACACTAACCAAAAATCTGTTTTCTTGTTCATCTGTAATTACAATATGAATGTCTAAATTATGTAAGAAACTCAGTAGTGCATATCTGTGCAAAGGTGTAACTGTTTCTTCTAAATGTATAATATTCAAATTACATAAATATTAAACCAGATTGGAAATGTTGAGAGATTTTGGAATTAAATGTTATTTAAGATCGATAAGAGTATTCTTATAAGCTGGAACTTGTGATCTTTTTGTCTCATCCTCCCAAGATGTCTGGCCAATAACACCATTTTAAAAACTTTTAAAATGTATATTTAAAAATGATAAAATTCAAGATTAAATTTATCCCAGTTACATAAAAGTATTCTTTTAGGGCTTCTGCTTGTTAAGCTGGTACTCTTCCTGTTGAGCCATGCCTTCAGCTAAAAGCAGTTTTTTTCCTGTATACCTTCAGTGTACATATCTCATGTTTTTTGGTTGAACCTCTATATTTCAAGTACAATTTCAAATTTAAGAACCTAAAGGTTAAGAAACATCATCATTCTCTAGTTTCACTGTATTTTTCAAAACTAACCTTTTCAGAATTGGCCAATCTTTATGACAAGTTTTGGAATAGAGTTTGTTGACCTGTAACTAAGCATCTGGTACAGTGGCTTTTGTGTCTTTGTTGAGTGTGGAAGTACTGTCCTTCAGGGACTCTTGAGGTTCACCTTTAAAATGTGTCCATTGTAAACTCTTCTTGACCTGAGAATTATAATGTAGTAACAGTTTTCTAATATTTTTTAAAAAATGAGAAATTTCTGCATCCAGTAGTGCAGAGAATGAAATAAAGAATACTCACATAACAAATGCCTAGATGTGTTGAAGCCTAATGCTTTAGCTGTGTTTTGTTTTGAACAAGCAATACATTTAATTTCAAATCCAAGAGAAGTTTCTTGTACATGTTCTTTTCCTGTTTTCTGTTCTCATGCCCAGAAGCCACTTCTGTCCTGAGGTAATAATTATTATGAATGTTTTAAACACTTTTACCAACCGTGTTTGTGTCTGTAAGATATGTATGCTATTCTTTGGCTAAGTTTCTGGAGCTATTTCAATATCATGATAGCCAACATTCATTTCACATTATCTTCTTGCTTTACTGGTTAATATGTACAGATTTAGTTACGAGTTTGCTTCATCCTAGTTTGTTTTATCCTAGTTAAATTTTTGCCAATTTACTCTGTTTAAAAATTGTTTCACTTATTTCAGTTGGGTTTTTCCACGATTACTAATGAGATTGGATGTAGTTCCTATGTATATTTACTTGTTTGTTTTTGTGATTTATTTTTTCTTTGGTCTGGTCGTGGGGCCTGAAGTCTGGGCCTGGGCACTGTCCCTCAGCTCTTCAGCTCAAGGCTAGTGCTGTACCACTTGAGCCACAGCACCACTTCCGGCTATTTTCTTTTTTGCTTATGTGGTGCTGAGGAATCGAACCCAGGGCCTCAGGCATGCAAGGCAAGCGCTCTACCACTGAGCCACCTTCCCAGCCCCTTGTTTTTGTGATTTTATGGGAAACTTGTATAATCTAACTTTTTTTTTTTTTTTTTGTCTGGTCGTGGGTCCTGAACTCTGGGCCTGGGCACTGTCCCTCAGCTCTTCAGCTCAAGGCTAGCACTCTACCACTTGAGCCACAGCACCACTTCTGGCTTTTTTCTTTTCTTGCATATGTGGTGCTGAGGAATCGAACCCAGGGCCTCAGGCATGCAAGGCAAGCGCTCTACCGCTGAGCCACCTTCCCAGCCCCATAATCTTAACTTTTGTATTTGGTAGTCTTTTATTTCCCCCTAATTTTATTTGTTTTTATTTTTATTTTGTGATTTAATTGCAAGTCTCTGAATTTCTTAGTTTTACTATATTGTCATCAATTTTTCTTTTGATTAGAGTAGGTATTAGTTCCTGTTTTGGGTTTGAATCCTTTTTAGTACTTTTTTTCTTTTTTGGTGCCAGTGCTGGGGCTTGAATTTAGGGCCTATGCACTGTCCCTGAGACATTTTTGTTCAAGGCTAGTGCTCTACCATTTGAGCCACAATTCTACTTCTGGCTTTTTGGTAGTTAATTGGAGAGAGTGTGTCATGGACTTTCCTGCCCCTTCTGGCTTCGAACCACTGTTCTCAGATGTCGGCTTCCTGAATAGCTAGGATTACAGATGTGAACCACTGGTCCTTTTCAGCTCTTCAGCTCAAGGTTAGCTCTCTACCACTTGAGCCACAGCGCTTATGTGGTGCTGAGCAATCGAACCCAAGGCCTCATGCATGCAAGGCAAGCACTCTACCACTGAGCCACCTTCCCAGCCCCCTTTTTAGTTTTATATGTGGTCCAAATCAGTGTTTATTATAATATAGTCATTATTGATACATAGAAGTATTTACTGTTAATCAAGTCAGACTTACCTGACTTCATTAAAAATTGTATTTTTGTGTCTTATTTAAGAAATTCAACCATAATTTGTTTAAAAAATTAGGTATATATCTCTCTTCCTAGGTTTGTAAGTACTCATTCAATGAGTATTTTTTGTGTGCATATTAACATATTTCATAATTCAAAGTCTAATATTAGGATGCATTTATAATTAAAAGCATTATATATCTAAAACGACTTAACTGTTATGAAGCTTTAATTGGTTTATTAATTTATGTTGGCCTAACAAAATACCTGAGGCCAGGTTATTGATAAAGTAAGAAGCTTTGTTTGAATCAAAATTGTAGTTAGAGGACTGAAATAATAGTTAATATCATTTATATAGGTCAAATTTTATTGTTTAAATGAATAAGATTAATTTATTGCTTTTGGAGAATTCATATCAGTGCTCTGGCCTCCAAACAAAGCCATTTTCACAATGGTTCTTTGGGATTTGGAAAGAACATAAAAGATACGTTTATTTTATTTTTTATTATTTTATTTGTCTTTTATAATATATATGTATACATATTGTTTAATAGGCATATATTGTATGGATATGTTAGGTTATACATTTAGGTTGGTTAAATATCAAAACATTTGCCGAATGCTCATGGATAAGAATGCAAATATTAAAAAGTAATTGTTACAGGATTGTAAGCATAATAATAAAAGTATATAAGAGAAAGTATTCTTCCCTACCCTGGGTGTAGTTGAGTTATTGAAGTATGGAATTGCATCAGAGAAAGTAACATAAACTATTGAAAATACTTCAGTAGTCTTGGAAGTCAGACCATTAGATTAAAAAAAAAATTTCTTGGGCCAGGTGCTGGTGGTTCACACCTGTAATCCTAGGTACTCAGGAGGCTGAGATCTGAGGAACACAGTTCAAAGCCATCCGGGACAGGAAAGTCTGTAAGATTCTTACCTCCAGTAAACCACCAGAAAACCGGAAGTGACACTGTGGCTCAAGTGGTAGAGCACAAGCCTTGAGCTGAAGAGCTGAGGGACAGCGCCTAGACCCAAAGTTCAAGCCTCATGACTGGAAAAAAAATTCTTTAAAAAATACTGTTATAGCCGGGCGCTGGTGGCTCACGCCTGTAATCCTAGCTACTCAGGAGGCTGAGATCTGAGGATCACGGTTCAAAGCCAGCCCAGACAGGAGAGACCGTGAGACTCCTATCTCTAATAAACCACCAGAAAACCGGAAGTGGCACTGTAGCTCAAGTGGTAGAGTGCTCGCCTTGAGCTGAAGAGCTGAGGGACAGCGCCCAGGCCCAGAGTTCAAGCCCCACGGCCGACAAAAAAACAAAAAAAAGAAAAAAATACTATTATAAAGGTGATGTACAGAGGGGTTACAGTTAGGGGTTACATGTTAGGTAAATAGTACAATTCTTAGAGGCTGGGAATGTGGCTTAGTGGTTAGAGTGCTTGCCTAGCATACATGAAGCTCTGGGTTTGATTTCTCAGTACCACATACACAGAAAAAGCTGTAAATGATGTTGTGGCTCAAGTGCTAGAGTGCTAGCCTTGAGCAAAAGAAGTTCAGGGACAGCACCTAGGCCTGAGTTCAAGCCCCAGGACTGGCAAAAAAGAAAAAAAAAAGATCTATACAACTGGGGTGAGGGGGGAAGTGGGAGAAAAATGAGGGGGGGGGAACAAGTTTGACAAGAAATGTACTCACTACCTTATGTAACTCTGTACATCACCTTGACAATAAAATTAAAAAAATAAAATATATTTCTTTTTGGACAGTGTCACCTCTTCCCTCACTCTCTCCTAGTTTTTCCTTCCCATCCCACCCACAAGTTGTATATAGTTCATTTTCAACATAGTATCTAGTAAGCCATATTTATTCACCCCTTGTCCCTTCCTTTCTGTGCCCCCTTTAAAATTAGATAGCTTTGTTTGCATATTTGGTATATAGTGAGGTGTAGTACAGAGGAGGAAATGAAAATAGATTGATGAATAGGGGACCAGGTTAATTGAATAAGACATTTTAAGTTGACTGGTTTCTTGGGTGTCAGGAGCCTTGCATAAGCTATGTAAGCACTCTACCACTGAGATCATTTCCAGCCCTTTTACTTAGTTTTTAGTAGGTTGCTATTTAACGATTTTGTGTGGAGAATTCCAGTGACATTTTTTTCCTCTGTGTTTTTGAACTTTCTCTACTGGGGCTTGAACACCATAGGGGCTTGAGCACTTCACTAGTGCTCTTGCTTGGTTCTTTAACTCGTAATTGGCATGTAGAATGCCCTTGAGCTATGCCTCCAGTTTGACATTTTGCTGGTTAATTGAAGTTGGAGTCTTGCAGACTTCTGCTTTGAATCTCAGTCCTTCAGGTCTCAGCCTCTTATGCAGCTAGGATTACAGGCATTAGCTAGAATGCTTGACATTATTATTATTATTATTTTTGGGTCTGGTCGTGGGGCGCCTGAACTCTGGGCCTGGGCGCTGTCCCTCAGCTCTTCAGCTCAAGGCTAGCGCTCTACCACTTGAGCCACAGCCCCACTTCGGTCTTTTTTCGTTTTGCTTATGTGGTGCTGAGGAATCGAACCCAGGGCCTCAGGCATGTAAGGCAATTGCTCTACCACTGAGCCACCTTCCCAGCCCCCCACCTTTTTTTTAGACAGGTTCTTACTATATATCCCAGGCTAGCCTCAAACTCCTGCCTAATTCTTTTTTTTTCATATGTAATTATGTTATAACAAGTAAACGTTACTTCACAGATCCTTTAACAAGCAGTATTTCATCCTTGAGAAAACAGTTCTTTTAACTATTAACAAACATATTGCATTCAGAATACTTCAAGGCACTGAAATAACTGCATACATACCTTATTATCAATAGATTGAAATATCATGGAAAGCATACTGGAATATATAAGATTTTAAACTTCAGCAATGCATAGTAATTTAACCAGTACATCCACATTTGTAAAATTAGGAGTGCATTTCTAATAGGTCCAACCTAGTGCCTAAGCCTTCTGAATGTGGGGTTACATATCTATGTGTGAAATGGTCCCCAGCTTTAAGTGTTTTGTGTATGTATCAGGCCTTGAACTCTGAGCCTCTCACTCTCACATACTTTCTTGCTCACTGATGGTGCTTTGTCACTTGAGCTAGGCTTCCAGTCTGATACTTGTTAGTTAATTAGAAATGGGGACTCATGGACTTCACTGCCTGGGTTGGCTTTCAGCCTCAGTCCTCCAGATCTCAGTCTTCTGAGTAGTTAGAATTACACGTGTGAGCTACCACTGCCTGGCTGCTGATAGTATTTTGAAGTGAAGGAAAACTGAAAACAAGTAGTCTAGTTAATCAGCAGTGATTGTTTCCTGTAGTATGTTCTCAGTGATTCATCACCTATCTATCCATGCTTCCTTTATTTATAGGCATTCTGGATGTGAATGTGAACTTGCTTTTAATTTGTTCTTGTTTTATGAATTGATATATTTAAAGTGGAAAGTATGTAGGAGAGAATTTAGGCTACTTACTTACAAATCTTTTTAGCAGCTTTTTAAAAAATATTGTTATAAACATACTTGTTGTTTGAACTATAATATGATGTGAGGAGGTTCTGTTCTCATCTGTTTAGAGCCCAATGCCTCCTGTACTTTAATGAGCATCTCTTTCTCCAAGATTTAGGAAGTTTTCTGCTATTCTCCAAGATTTAGGAAGTTTTCTGCTATTCTCCAAGATTTAGGAAGTTTTCTGCTATTACTTTTTATAAAGTTACTGCTTTATATGTCATAAAACTACCATTATAGATACATATATAAACACACATGGTAGATATATACATACATACATACATATATATATATATATATATATATATAAATGTAATGCTTTAACTCAGTTGTGTCTTTTCATCAACTTAAAGTAGATTCATACTGGTGTCTCATACTGTTATAAGCACTTGTAATTTTAAAATAGCTCCATCAGTCTAGTTATTAGTGGTGACACTTGACAATTTCAGGAATTCTGTTTATTTAAACTACTATATTTAGTATGGCAGGCTTTATACTTTGTGCTGACAAAATAGTTGTTAATGTTGAAGTCTTAAAAGTTATCTTTCTAATTTAGGCCCAGCCAGTTGGAGATTGTGATTTTAATGTTCGCCTACAGTGTATAGAACGGGAAATTATAAATCCTCGACATGAAAAAATGAAGACTGGGCTCATCGATAAAACACAGGAACCATTTAGTGTGAGAAATAAGCCATTTTTTGACATCTGTATTTCAAGAAAGGTAACATTTATTTTTTGTTCTCTATTTCATATATCATAACTCAGTTTAGAAGAGTACTAATGGCCTTTGGCTCCTCACTGATCTTGCTTACTGGAAATGACTGGAAATGACTATTTTTTACCAAACATGTATGATTCTGAGTATTATCTTCTTCAGTAACATTTTTAGTGTGGACATGTAAAAGAGATTGCTTCTTTTTTTCTTTCTGGTTTGTTTCATAGGCATTGGTTTGTATTCTATTTTTAAGAAGACTGTAGACAGTATAAGTAAATTCACAGTGAAATAGGTTTTTAGACTTGTTCCTGCTTTTTCCTGAAAACAGTGTTTGTTTTATGTTTTTATGAAAAATATTTCTGATACATATCAGTGTGTGCACACAGGATTTTCTTTTTTCTTTTTCTTTTTTCTTCTTGCTGGTTCTGGACTTGAACTCTGGGTCTAGGCACTATCGCTGAGTTTCTTTTTCTCAAGGTGTGTGCTGTATGTAGTGCTTTGAGCCACAGCACTACTTCCGGCTTTTTCTGAGTAGTAGTTAATTGGGGATAAGAGTCTCATGAGGACTTTCCTGCCTGTGCTAGCTTCTAACAGCAATCCTCAGATCTTAGCTTCCTGTGTAGCTAGGATTATAGGCATGAACATCCGGCACCCAAAAAGGTTTTCTTATTTTTGCTGTTTTAGCACTCTTAAATGAATCATACCAAATATTCTAGGATTGACTTTTTTTCACATAAAAATAAAACTTGAAGATATTTCCATGTGCAGTTAGAGATTGCCACATTATTTTTTAATTGTTGAATGATGTTGATGGTGAAGATGTACCATATGTTATCACTGCTGGGATTTTTGGATTGCGTCTAGCATTAGTTATTACTAATTCTCTTCCAGGGAACATCTTTGCTTATATGTTGGGTATTTCTTCCTGATAAGTTAGGAGTTTTGGTGTAAGGACTTTTGGATAGTTTTAGTAACAACTGCCAAGTTCCCTTCCACATTAAACCCTTCCATCTCCAGTGGACAAGAGAGTTTCGTTCCTCAGACTATACTCTGTAAGGTGCCCTGTTGTGGAGATGAGTAAGCTTCTAAAACAGTGACTGTGCTGATTTTATTTTTGTTTTTGTTTTATTTTTGATTTTGTTTTTTGTTTTTTCTGCTTCTTACTGGCTTTGAGATCTTTTCAAAGGTACTTGAAACTTCTCTTAACAAAGTTTATTCACGTATAGTTCGGAGTTACAAATCTAGGCTTACTCTGTTAACTTAGTGTAACATTGTATCAAACCAAGAGGCTGAGATTTTGAGGATAGTGGTTTGAAGCCAGCCTTGGCAGAGAAGTCTGAGACTCCAAAAAGCCAGACTGGAAGTAAGTGGTAGAGCAATACCTGAGAAAACTAGCCAAGCAAATTTGAAGCCCTGAGAACAAATCCTAGTACCACCTATGAAAAAAAGAAGCATCTAAAGCCACCTAAATACACAAAAATAGAGCATCAAGCAAACAAGATAATATTAAGAAATAATATAAACAAGCATTTCGGAGATGAAGGGCTTTCTAAGCAAGACAGAAAACTCAGAACATAGGGAAAATATATTTCCAAATTTAACAGTATAAAAATGGAACTTTTTATGGAAAACACTACATAGACAAGTAATTGTGGGGGGCTGGGAAGGTGGCTCAGTGGTAGAGCGCTTGCCTTGCATGCATGAAGCCCTGGGTTCGATTCTTCAGCACCCCATAAGCAAAAAAGAAAAAAAGCCGGAAGTGGCGCTGTGGCTCAAGTGGTAGAGTGCTAGCCTTGAGCTGAAGAGCTGAGGGACAGCGCCCAGGCCCAGAGTTTAGGCCCCACGACTGCCCCCCCCCAAAAAAGTAATTGTATAACAATCAATAACAATAATTACAAATCCATAAAAAACAACAATTAGCACTTATTGGAAGCAGACCAAGGTAACTACTTTGTGACTTTATCAGCTATTGTATTCTGGACATTTTATAGAAGTGACTACCTTTTTTCATGAAACCAGCCTTGTACTTTCAAGCACAAACTATAACATGCTATTGATGTCATGGCATATATCAATACTTCCTTAAATACTTCATTATATGGTTCTACAATACTTTGTTTTTCCATTTGCTTGATGGAAGTTTGGGTTGTTTCCATTCTCCAGTGATTATGGATAATGCTTTTATAAACATTTGTGTGCAAATTACTGTGTGAATATCTGTGCAACTTTTCTTTTTTGAAATGATGATTTAATTATATTTATATTCACAGAATGGATATGTTGACAGTCAGTGCTGTTATTATCTTATAGTTTTTGGTAAAAGTGTGTTGGTATACTGTGTTTATAGTATTTTTTTCAAAAGTGTTTGTAATCACTTATATTTTTGTTCTCATGGCTCATTTTCTACCTATATCTTCATATAGCTTTAGATCTGTATTTCTTTAGATCTTACCTAACTAAAAATATAGGTAGTGTATTTCTTTGTGTTATCTGTTTCATTTGCACTTTGTGGCTGCAAGTTTTTAATGAATAATACCTCATTGTTAGTTAGTATTATATTATAAACTTGGAATCCTGGATGTCTTCTTTCAATTTTTATTTATACTATTTTCTTATCCTTAGGTTAGATATTTATCTTGTTTTTTTCATTCTAAGCTTCATATTTGTTCTAGTTTATATATAATTACCTTTTAATGTTTTTGTAAGGGGTAGGTTTTCTTTTCTCATAATTTTCTCAGTCATTTCATTTGAGGCTAATGTTTTTATAATTTTCTCAAGAGCACTTCCTGGTAGCAGTGGTTTCTAATGTCTTGAATATTTGAAAATGTTGTTAGCTGTATTTTTGAAAGGTCATTTCGATGGGTTTTAAATGACTTTCACACTTAACCTGTATTAGTAAACTCTTTTAGTATTTAATGATGTGAAACAGTAAAATTTCATCAGACTTTGTTTTTTCTCCCATTTTAGTTAAAAGCTCCCCTTTTGCCTCTTTGCTTGGAAGTTTATTTCTTCATCTTTAGAGTTTAGCAAAGTATCACTGTCTTGGAATTGACTGTCTCTGATCAGTTTTTTCTATCACTTTCATTTCTTGAGTATTTTCTTCTTTTCTCAGTACTGAGGTTTGAACTCAGAGTTTTACAGAAAGTTTGCTAGTAAGACCATCTGTTGCTTTAGCAACACATTCAGCCTTAGAATTTGCTTTTAAAATAACTGTGATGTTATATTTCTTGGTTATCCTCTTTAGGCATTCTCACTATATGTTGTCTTCCATCTTAGAGCACTTGAGATTTTCTGACTTCTGTAGGTTTTGGTGGATCTGGTGCTAGTGTATGGGTCCTATTTTATGAAGCAGTGCTCTAAATTTAATGTTGTAAAACTCTTTCATGGTTACATTTCATTTTATGAGTCTTTTATTGTTTAAAATGCATTTCTTACTTATGAAGCTTAGCTTACACTCTAGGGGTCATTGGGTTTGTTGACTCAATTTAATGAAGAATTGAATGAAAGGACACAGAAGATATGTTAAGAAGTTGAATGCTTTATTACAGGAGCAAAACTAGCAGAAAGCGAAAGTAACAGGCTCCTCTGAAGAGTTTTACCAGATAGGTCATGAGGCAGGAAGAGTGGAAGTAGAGGCCAAGTTTATTTCAAAGTAAGAGTAAGATGCCAGGGGAAACTGAGGAAAAACTTACTATCTATTGGTACTTTGGCCTAAATCCCCATCCTGGACTCCCAACTAAGAGGACCGCCTTATGCCATTTGAGGTCCCATCCACTTGTTTCACAGGCAAGCAGGAAAAGGTAGAGGAGGCTGCAGATTTCTTGAAGTAAGGGAGTGGGAAGCAGAGCCCAGAAATTGGTATCCCCAATGTAGGCTCCAGAAGTCCCTTTCTTATAGTCCTTTTGGCAAGTCTCTTCTGCTCTGGCATCTGGTTGAGTCATGTGTCCTTCACCCCAAAGAGAGGGGGATGGGTGCCTGTTCTCTGCATGGGTCTGCTCCAGAGTTGTCAAGGTCTTTGCTTGCTTGCTTGCTTTTTTTTTTTTTTTTTGTTGATTGTGGGACCTGAACTCTGGAACCTGGGCGCTGTCCCTCAGCTCTGCAGTTCAAGGCAGGCACTCTATCACTTGAGCCACAGCACCAGTTCCAGTTTTCTGGTGGTTTATTGGAGATAATCTCACTGCCTTCCTGCCTGGGGTTGGCTTTGAATCACGATCCTCAGATCTCAGCCTCCTGAGTAGCTAGGATTACAGGCTTGAGCCACCAGCACCCAGCTAAGATCTTTGCTTTCTTGGAGCCATTAACTTGATTTTTTTCCAGGGTTGGTTATCTGGTGTAATAGGCTCCACCAGTAATCTCTGCTTTTCCAAGATCTTTTGGAAGAGTAGATGCAGGTTCTACTTTCCCCAGGTTTTCTAGAATCCTTGAGGAGGAGGATTGTTGGTTCCACTGGGTTGCTGACTTGCCTTAACCTACACATTGCTTCTAAATATCTCTCACCTATGCCTTTATTTCTGTGACTTCTTTCTCTCGGACTTTCCTCAATATTTTCTTTCCCTACTTTTTATTTTTATTTTTAAATTTTTTTTGGGTCCGGTCGTGGGGCCTGAACGCTGGGCCTGGGTGCTGTCCCTCAGCTCTTCAGTTCAAGGCGAGCGCTCTACCACTTGAGCCACAGCGCCACTTGCGGCTTTTTTCTTTTTTGCTTATGTGGTGCTGAGGAATCAAACCCAGGGCTTCATGCATGCAAGGCAAGCGCTCTACCACTGAGCCACCTTCCCAGCCCTACTTTTTATCTTTTTAAGCTGTATTTCTTCTTGAACCTTTTCGTTTCTGCTTTGTTGTTCTTTAAAGCAGTTTTATTATTTTTTTTAAAGAAGTTCATGATAAGATATTTGATGATTTTCATCCTTTCTATGGCAGTATTTTTCTGTATTGTCTGTTAGTATTGTACTTTCTACCTCTTTCATTTGATAGATGAAATGTAATATTTTTGTACTGTCAGTTCC